TAAACCTAGAAATTACCTGTTAATTATTTACCTTAAATTCTTTGTGAATTTGTTGCCAATTAAATTTTTTTATTATTAGAATTACACGTGACCTTAGGAAAGTTTACTTGACTATTCTGTATGAATTGTTTCGGTACTTTACTTGTGGTCGTGGTTGGTTGTTTTTGTATTCTGTGCATTTTTGGGTAAAATGACAGCACATTATGAGTTGTGCATTTCTTAATGAAAATTGTGGTTTTTTAATTTGACAAAGTGAAAATGTTTTTCATAAAACTTTTTTATGGCAAATGTTGTCTAAGGCGAGTGTGGATATTAAGATGTGTTTTAACTGCAATAATTTGGATATGGTTGAAATAGACTGTCCTATGAATGATAATAAAAGGTAAAATGATGAGAGTGGTGAGGCAAATTTTGTCCTTGGGTCGAGCGATGACCCTAGAGAGGTTTATTGAGAGTAAACCTAGTTACTGCACGAGCATCTGTGTGTAATCCTTTCTGCATGTGTGATCACTTAATTCTGTTGCATGGTGATATATTACACTTTCAATATATTTGATGTGTGTAATGACATGAATTAAAATGACCTTATTACTTTGTGTAATGTGTTTGCATGCATAGTGGGTTGATATCTATGGTGTACTCTGTTTTGCTCTGTAAGTGGTGTGAGAGGGTGTCGTAGTAAGAAGTTAGAAGGGTAGCCATTTTCTCCTTAATCTTTGTGAGCCTGTGTGGTTTGTGAGATTATGTGAAGCAGCATGTTAGAGTTATCTTCGTTTTCTGTGTGAACCTCTTTTGTGAGTGCAGTAAAATAATCAACTAATTCTTCTATTCTCTTTGTGAGCGTTACATTCACCCTTCCCTTTGTGGGATTAATCCTTTGTGGATTTGTAAGAGTATTGGTGTTGGAGTAACCTTGTGGTGCGTGGGTCAATTTAAATTTGAGCCCTAACCTTTGTGGTTTCAAAATTGTGTTGATTTGCCATAGTGGATATGGGATGCATTAGTAGCTTGTATGTTTGTCTTTTGGTAAGATGCCTAAGGATACATTGTGGTTTGTACCGTGGGATGTGGAGTGTGACATTTGGATCACGGTGGAGATGTGATCAAATGTTTGAAATCCTTTATCTG